TGCCGCGTACCCCCCCCCCCCTCCGCCATCGCCGCCACTGCCGGGGGGTTGGGATCTGGGGATCGCTAGGTGGTCGCAGCCGGCGGGGAGTACGTCCGGCCGCCACGGCGGGCCTGTGATCGCAGCCGGCGGGGAGTACGTCCGGCCGCCACGGCGGGCCTGTGATCGCAGCCGGCGGGGAGTACGTCCGGCGCCACGGCCGGCCTTCACAAGTGGTTTTTGTTTTTATTTTTTAGTCGGCTTTGTTTGACCTTGACTAATCAAGACGCGTCGGTAAGCTGCTTTCTTCCAGGGTGACCTACAAGAAGTTTCTGGTTGGGTTGCTCCCGTCCGCAGTGTTTCTGGTTGGTTACTCCCGTCCGCATGTGTTTCTGGTCGGGTTACTCCCGTCCGCATGTGTTTCTGGTTGGGTTACTCCCGTCCGCATGTTTTTGGTCGGGTTACTCCGTCCGCATGTGTTCTGGTCGGGTACTCCCGTCCGCATGTGTTTCTGGTTGGGTTACTCCCGTCCGCATGTGAAGTTCTGGTTGGGTTACTCCCGTCCGCATGTGTTTTGGTGGTTACTCCCGTCCGCATGTGAAGTTCTGGTTGGGTTACTCCCGTCCGCATGTGTTTCTGGTTGGGTTACTCCCGTCCGCATGTGTTTCTGGTTGGGTTACTCCCGTCCGCATGTGTTTCTGGTTGGGTTACTCCCGTCCGCATGTGTTCATGTCATGCCCTCGTCGTGATATCACGCTCATCGGTCATCCGGGAGGCGAGGACCCCACGTCATTCAGCAACGGTCATCATGGTCGTCACCAGTATCACCAGTCGTTCGTCGTTTCACTCATTGTGCTGGCTGGATCCGGTTATGATGGAGAGGTAGGCCAAGCCACTCCCGTTGGTCTTGTGCGGCAGTGCTCCCGTCCCTGAGTCCGCCTCTGGCAGTCGGTCCCCCGCGCCGCGGTCCCTGACCGCGCCCCTGCCGGCAGCCGGCGGCCATGCGCCGATGCAACAGGCGTCAGGCCTGCCTCCGGCCGGCAGCGTCCGCTTCCGGTGCGAGAACGGTACTGCCGGCCGGCGCGCAGGGCGGCGCGACGCGGCGAGGCCGGCGCGCGGGGCCGCGGCCAGACCCGTCGCGCCGGGCCGGACCGGACCGGTAGCTTCCACCGGGCACTGGTCCGGTCCGGTCCGGTCCGGTCCGGTCCAGCGGGCGGAGCCGGCGCACAGGGACGTGACGTCACTGGTTCCAGTCGACATGAGAGCCTGTGACGTCACTGGTAGTCCATCTGTGCCGCCTTGTTGGAGAGGAGCAGGACTTGTGACGGTGTTCATGTCGCTAACGCCGAGGACAGGTGGGCGGGGCGGCGACGGTACCTTCTGAGCGAAGCGCGCAACGACCTTTCGGGGCCACCGGGGCAGGACGAACACGGTCCTCGAGAAGAAGCCCGCGCTTCTCCGCATTTCAGAAGCGGTCCTGATCAGCATTCGGCAATTATCGGAGGCTGTGAAGGCGGCTCGCCGAAAGTCAATATCCGATGCGGCCGGGCGGATATTTTTCGTCGGCGGAACCGCTGACGAGCTAATCTCATTGACGGCGCCTTGATCTGGCGTGCTGCGAGCCGATAGCGAGGCGCCGCGCCTCTCGGGAGACCCTGCGTGTGGGCTGCAATCAGGGCCGTCCGTGTGTGAACAAGAGGCGCGCCGAGCCGGGGCCGCCGCTTGTGATCGCGCCCGGCCGCCCGCCACGCCGCTATGACGTCACGACAGGCGCCGCGACGTCAAGAGGCCGGCACCTGCGACACGGTGTCGCCGGCCGGCCACTTGTGGCTGCCGCTGAGGCCGCGTGGCTGGCTGGCTGGCATTGATTGGCAATGGTGGCCGCCTGGGGGGACGACGGCCTGTCTCGACTGCTGGGCCGGCCCTGGCAGACGCTCGTGGCGAGCAGATGCCGGCGCGGCAGGTGCCGGCTGGGGCCGTACAGCGCACAGCTGTGTGTGGCACGGCCAACGTACTTCGGCCGGCGCTGGGCATGGCGAGGCGCCCGTCGCGCGGCCACGCCAGCCTCGCAAGTGAAGGCGCTCCGCCAGAAGCGCGACGCTCGGCCGGCGGCTGTGTGTCTTGGCTGCAGATGCCCGTCGCGCGGCCACGCCAGCCTCGCAAGTGAAGGCGCTCTGCCAGAAGCGCGACGCTCGGCCAGCGGCTGTGCGAGTCTTGGCTCCAGACGCGCGTCGCACGGGCTCGCTCGCCTCGCCGAGCTGTCGCGTCGAGCTGTCGCGTCGAGCTGTCCAGCAGACTGGACGCCGTACTGCGGAGGCCCTCGCTGTGTTGGGCGCGAGTGCCTGCCGCGCTAACTCACGTGCTCGTCGACGAAATGCTTGCATCGTTTTGCGGGCGCAAAACAGCATGTGCGACGACATGTTTGATACTTTGATTATGATTTTGACTGAGCGGTTACGGCGCCCGAAATCCCAGATGGCCCAAATCTAGCCTGATGGGGGGGGGGGGGGGGGAGGTGACGGTAGTGTAGTGGTTAACGCGTCTGTGTTAGCCACCAACGCGTCTGTGTTAACCACTACGCGTCTGGGAAACCAGAGTTACGGGGTTCGATTCCCCGCGGTGCCCGCCCTTCCTGCCAGGGTGACAGGCAGGTGACGCCACATAGCCTCAGCAGCTGAATGCGTCGTTAAGTCCCATTGACACACACACGACACACTGGCCTGATGGCGTTGTGTTTCCCGGACGTCAGCCTGGTCTGGAGCGCGCGCCGCTGCGGCCGCGGCCTCTCTCAGTGAGCGGCGGCGTGCGTTCGGCGCCGGTGTCGCCATCGCCGTGACCATCGACCGGCGCGCGGTGCGTCATCTCGCCGGCGAGAGGCGGCGGGCAGAGCCGGAGGCATCGGCCCAGAGGGCGGGAGGGCGCTGAGTGGGGCGGAGTCGGGGCATCGGCCCAGAGGGCGGGAGGGCGCTGAGTGGGGCGGAGACGGAGGCATCGGCCCAGAGGGCGAGAGGGCGCTGAGCGGGGCGGAGTCGGAGGCATCGGCCCAGAGGGGGGGGGGGGGGGGGGGGGGGCAGAGGGGGAGGGCGCTGAGGGGCGGAGTCGGAGCATCGGCCCAGAGGGGGAGGGCGCTGAGGGCGGAGCGGAGGCATCGGCCCAGAGGGCGAGAGGGCGCTGAGCGGGGCGGAGCCGGAGGCATCGGCCCAGAGGGCGAGAGGGCCCTGAGCGGGGCGGAGCCGGAGGCATCGGCCCAGAGGGCGAGAGGGCGCTGAGCGGGGCGGAGCCGGAGGCGCCGAGGCTCGGGTGTACGGGGTCCGCCAAGCGAGCGGAGGACGGAGGGCGCCCGACAGCTGCCGGTAAACTGCAGCTGTGGAAACCAGGCCTCAACTTCCAGCCCCCATCCCCCACCTCCAGCTCCAGCTCCCAGGGCCCAGGGTCTGGGAGCCGGCGCTGCTGCGTCGTTCCTCCCGGCACCGCCCGCCCGCGTCAGCGCCGGCTGTGGCCGTCGGTGCGGCCGCCTCACGTCCGGCTGGGAGCGACCGGACACGGCCGATCTCCGCTGTGGACCACTGGCCGCGGCGGGGCGGCTCGTTCGCCGCGCTGCGTGGCCGCGCTGCAGTGTATTGTGTGGGCCCACTCTGACCGGGGGAGGCGCGGGCGCTCGACGCCGGTGTACTTTAGACAGGTGGGCAAGAGACCAAGGACGTGAGAGAGCGAGGGAGCGAGAGAGGGCGTAAGCGCGAGCTGTTAGTGTTAGTGGTGCGTCGACCTCGTGGCCTTTTCGCGGCTTCCAGGTCAGAGGTGCCCTATGCAGGCGGGAACGGATCACATTATGTTTCCGTTCTCTGAACGCTCTGATCACAGTATGTTGGACAGAATGCTCTGGGCAAAATGCTCTGATCACAAGCTCAGGACAGGCCTGCCACTCTGACTGCCGGCCTGGGGGTGGTCTGGCGGCTGGGCGCCGGCCGGGACGGGTCACGTTGGCCGGCCCGGCCGCCGCCGCCGCCGCCGCCGCCGCCGTGACCCGGGACCGCGCCGGGCGCCGAGCGGCGGCGGCCGCCGCCGCTGCAGTGGGCGCGCTGTCCGGGATTTTGTGTACGCGCGCCGGACCCGACTGGCCGGCCGGTCGAAGCTCGTTACGGAGCCGTGTCCTTCAGCGACGGCGCGCCGCCCCGGGCCGTCTATTATTCATGGCGCGCGCGCGGGCGCGCTGTCCCGCCGCGCCGCCAAAACAAACCGTGAGACGCACCGGCCGGCCGCACTGCCGGCGTGAGGCGACACCGCCGCGCCGGCCTAGCACACCCGCGCGCCCCCTGGCACGGCTGCGGCCGCGCCGTGTTTAGACGCCTTCCTCCGTGCCTGGTGTTTTGCGCATCAATTAGTGCGCTGCGAGCAATTACCGAAAGAGGACACGGGCGCGGCTGCGTGTCCGATGTTGTCATGGGCCGGTGGTGCGGTCCGGCACGGGGTTAGGGGGGAGGGCCGAGGTCAGCCGTGTGAATGGCGTGCCGAGGGGCCGGTGGCACAGGCGAGGGGACTGACTCGGCCCGTGTGGGTGACTGGGGGGCGACGTCGGTGGTGGAGGTGGGCGCGGCGATGGGACTGTGTGACTGCTCGAGGAGGTGGATCGTTTTGCACCAGTCCCGATTTGCAGCACGACCTGGGTACCGTGCCCCCGGGGCTGCGACGCCACCGTGCTCTTAACGTCATGTTGCACAGAACCACAGCCAGGAGAGCGGGGTGCACAGCTGACGAAGATGTACCCATCTGATCGTTACCCTGCAGCGCCACCGGAGGCTTTCAGCTTAGGTCATTGTGAGCTAACTTGAGCTGTCAACGTTTGTGTGCAGGCTGTTGACGGTACCCGTTGGCTGGTGTAGGTGGCCGTTGACCCGACCGCCTGCTGTTGTTGCGTGCTGTGTGTTGTCACGAGAACCTCGCCCGCGGTTGCCTGCCATGTCCGCCAGTGCTGCCACCTATCGCAGACCGTGCCTGACCCTGGCCGTTCGTCTCCGTTGCAGAATGGTTGTGGAATCCCATCACGATTATGGGAGCTTCCCCAGTGCGGCAGCGAGCGTGAACGGCAGACAGGTGAGTGTGACGTCACGGCGCCAGCTGGCGCCGCGGAGCCGCCACAGTGCGGGGCGGGGGCGGAAGACATCCCTCGCGATACGACACGTCGCGCCTTCTTGCCGTGTTCGGTGTCTGGGGCGCATTTCCGGGCGTTTGCGTGGCATGTTCCGCTTCGCACGGGCTTCGACACCAGCGTGCATACGCCGTACCCCAAAGACGGGACGCCGCACCTAGGCTGGCCGGCCGGCTCTGGCTCTCCGTCCTGCGGCTGCTCTGCTCTCCGTCGCGCCGCCGTCCTCTGGCGGCTGGCGGCCGGCTCTGGCTCTCCGTCGCGTCGCCGTCCTCTGGCGGCTGGCGGCTGGCTCTGGCTCTCCGTCGCGCCGCCGTCCTCTGGCGGCTGGCGGCCGGCTCTGGCTCTCCGTCGCGTCGCCGTCCTCTGGCGGCTGGCGGCCGGCTCTGGCTCTCCGTCGCGCCGCCGTCCCCTGGCGTCTGGCGGCCGGCTCTGGCTCTCCGTCGCGCCGCCGTCCCCTGGCGTCTGGCGGCCGGCTCTGGCTCTCCGTCGCGCCGCCGTCCCCTGGCGTCTGGCGGCCGGTCGGCCGGCCGGCGTCCTTGGCGTGTCCTGTGGCGCCGAGACTGCGCCGCCCTGCGAAATGCTGCGTGTTTGGCGGCGACGCAGGCCGACGCGCGCTCGGGACCGCGCGCGAGATGACACGACGACGACGACGACGGCGACGGCGGCCCGGGGCCGGCCGGGGCGCGACGGCAGCGGGGACGGGCGGCAGAGGCGCCGGGGCCGTCTTACCGGCAGCACAGGGCTCGCCTGCTGCGGCGATGCAGCAGCAATGGCCGTAGAACCTACAAAATATCCAGTCAGTGTCTAGGATGTGCCAGGATACCAATATTTTTACCTGGGAAGTTATTATGTTATTTATAATTTGTTCTACTTTTTATAATTATATTTATAGTTACTATAAGCTATTATTAATAAGGATTACAGAACACCAGTGTAGAGGTGTAGCTGCGACTACGGAGGTCCAGAGCTGGGCACATTGGGAGTGCGGTTGCAAAGCTCGGTTAGGGCGGCGGTCCAGCCGTGGCAGCGGGTGTTTTTTGTGCGCGACCATTTTGGCGCCGGCTCCGGGCCCGTTCAGTGCTAGTTCAGCCGGCTGTGGCGTACCGAGCAGCAGCCCGTATCACGGGTCAGTGTTGGTTCAGCCGGCTGTGGCGTGCCTAGCAGCAGTCCGTATCACGGGTCAGTGTTGGTTCAGCCGGCTGTGGCGTGCCGAGCAGCAGTCCGTATCACGGGTCAGTGTTGGTTCAGCCGGCTGTGGCGTGCCGAGCAGCAGTCCGTATCACGGGTCAGTGTGGTTCAGCCGGTGTGGCGTGCCTAGCAGCGGTCCGTATCAGGGTCAGTGTTGGTTCAGCCGGCTGTGGCGTGCCTGAGCAGCAGTCCAGTATCACGGGTCAGGTGTGGTTCCGCCGGTCTGTGGCGTGCCGAACAGCAGAGTCCGTATCACGGGTCAGTGTTGGTTCAACCAGCCGTGGCGTACCGAGCAGCAGTTATCGCGAGCCGTAAACAGCGGTGAGTTTGAGGACCACGGAAGGCTCAGTGCGCTGATGCCGGACGGTCGGATGAAATTGGCCGTCCGGTGCTGAGCCCAGTGCGCTGATGCCTGACGGTCGGATGAAATTGGCCGTCCGGTGGTGAATTTCTCTCGGGGTTTCTCTCATTTCCCGGCCGGTTTGGCATCATTCCTGTGTAATGCCGCGCTACACGGCCGCAGGGGTGTAATCATCGCCGGCGGTAGCCGTCGCTCGTCCCTCAGCAGCTCCTAAGCTGCTGCTCGGATCGCTGATGACCAGCACAGCTCTGTGACGTCGGATGGCGTGACGGCACATGGAACGCGAGTGACCCGGCGGACGCCACTCTCCGGTCAGCGCCCAGGCTGCCGGCGACAGGGGCGCCACCAGTCTTTCCAGGGGAGGGGGACGGGGCTCAGTGAGAACTGATCACTTCGATGTTTAGTTGGCCGTCAGGAGCATTTGGGTGCTGTAAGACCAAACGCGGGCCTGAGGGTGGGTGGCTGCCCTCCCCCCCCCCCCCCCAGGCCGCGCCCCTGGCTGAAGCTCCATGTCCGCGCTCCACGCCTTCGGGACGGTATCCAGATAGGTTGTGCCGGCTGACCCGATCTCAGCCTGCGCATAGTCGCTGGCCGCGCGGCGTGAAGCGCGCCCGCCAATCGCGTCCCGGCTTCGGCGGTGACGTCACAGCCGGCGCCGCGCCGGTCAGCTGACCGCGATGGTGGATTTTCCGCGTCGTGAAGCGCGCCGCGACCGCTGCCGGCGCCGGCTGTTGAGCGAGCCGGCGCCGAATACGGCCTCGTTGGCGTCGCCGCCGGCTGATGACGAGGCTCGCTGCAGATGTACCGGCAGAGGCGTGGGGGAGGGAGGGGGAGGGGCGTCCTGATCCTGCCCGGTTTTGATAGGCGTAGTGTAAGCATTGGTATATGTTTTTTACCGTATTTTGGCTATTCGGAGAAAGAAATTGACGTTTTTCGCCCCGTGCCCTGCCCCCCATGCCTGCGGTGTGGCCCCGATGGCGAACAGCCTGGGGGCGCCGGTGGCTGCAGCATCGCTGGTTCCCGTCGCGTCGCCGCGCTATTGTCGGCAGCGGACGGGACGGTCGTCAAGTTAGATCGATATTACACATTCGCATTCGCGTGTCACATTCGATCTACTCACCAATTACAATGAAATTTAGCTCACAGATAGTCAGTTATGCCATTGACCAATGTACAAGTCACTGAGTGTGACATCCAAAGACAAACGAGTTATTAAAGATCAAAGATCAAAGCTGTTCAAGGTCATTGCTTAGTGAACCTTCCTGGACTCGGCAGATTTAGACCCAATTTGCTTTGTTGATAGAACAAAGCATTCCAATTAATCAAGTCACATTTTGCAAATGCGACATTTAAAACCACGCCCGTAAAGAACCATAAAAGTTTAAGGTCACTCAAAATAATCGGACTCTCTCCATTGCTTTGAGACTTGACAAAAACATTCACATCGCATCGCTCCGCCTAGCCTCCAAATATTACATTGTGACATTCAAACGTTCGACTTTCAGACATTCAGAGGCATTCAAATCTTGGATATGACGGCCTCGCACGTGTTAACATTTATACATTTCATGTCAGTAAAATGGCAGAGAGACTTCTTCGATCACCTTGAAACTTGGCGCTAGTGTGGACCATGTACATACACATTTTTCACCAAGTGGCAGTTCGCGGTGTTTCCGTTCACGCATTCCAAAGGCTCGCAAGCAATAGGATATATGACAAAAAAACGAAACAAACAGCGTCGTAATATGCCACCAAGACCAAGGAATGCTGAACAATGCATCTCCTATGATGTAATTAGCCGTTGCCTCTCCTATGATGTGCCATATGACGGTACGGCATGCAAACTTTGACGCCCAAATAAAAAATGTCACATTCGATGTAAGGCTTCGAATGTGAACGGTTTTTCAAGGTGATCGAAGGAGTCCCTGTGCCATTTGACTGACATGAAATGAAGATATGTTAACACATGCGAGGCCGTCATTTCCAAGATTCAAATGTCTCTGGAAGACGAACGTTTGAATGTCACAATCTGACATTTGGAGACCATGTGGAACAATGCGATGTGAATGTTTGTGCCAAATTTGAAAGCATTTGCAAGAGTACGATTTTGAGTGACCTTGAACTTCTATGGTTCTTTACGGGCGTGGTTTTAAATGTCACATTTGGAATGTGATTGTGATTGTGATGTGAACGTGATGTGACAAATGTGACTTTATTAACTGGAATGCTGTGTTCTATCGACGAACCAAATTGGGTCAAAATCTGTTCAGTCCATGAAGGTTCTCAAAGCAACGACCCTGAACGACCTTGAACTTCGATATTTAATAACGCCTTTGTTTTGGGATGTCACACGTAGCGACTTGTTTATTCGTCAGTGACATAATTAGCTCTATCTGTGAGCTAAGTTTTATTGTAATTGGTGATTAGATCGAATGTGACACGCAAATGTGAATGTATTATCGTTCTCACTTGACGAACGCACGGACGGGGCGGAGTGGCCGACCGGCCGGGGGGGAGGGGGGGGGGGGGGCGGAAGCCTGCCGATGTGGAGCCTCTGCGTGGTCGGCGCTTTCAGACAAGAAACAGACAACTGGCGGAGCCGGGAAAGGAAATAGTGCGCGCCATCGTTACAGCCGTTGGGGGCTCGGATAATGGCGGCAGACGTCAGCACGCCAGGAAGCGGTGCACCATGCCAGGGCCGTGCAAACGCCGTTAAAAAAGGATGACACGGACACGTTTCGCTCTTGCGGCGTATCCAGCTGTGGGAATTGTCGCCGAGGAAAATAATGCACCTCCCGTCCGTCGCCGTCGCCTTTGTCTGCGTCCGAGATGTGTGATATGATACGGCATGACATGACATGATGACAGATATGACAATGCGCCTATATATTGGGCAGGAAAGAATGGAATTCTCGTTTGAATCATTTGCGTGGACGCACGACGCAGGGTACAGGCGCGGAACTCGTCGGCCTTGCGCTGCCGCCGGCTCTGGTCGTGTTAGGGCGGCGGCACCTCGGCGATTTATCAACTGGCAGACAACGCAGACATTATGCCATCTGAAAGCGGCTTTGACCGCGGTCGCGTGAAGGAAACAGAGGGCACTGTGGGACGGGTATAAGCCGGGATTGCAACGTCGAACTGGCTGCTTTTTTTGCTAGGCTCGGGGCTGGTTTAGACTTTTGCGTGATCGCTGGCTGTTGTGTCCGCGTCGAAGGCGTTTGACCGGGTTGCATTCCTGCGGTGCATCGTACTTGCCCAGGTACGATCCGGCCTGATCTGGTTTGCGGCCTCAGCGGGCTGGCACTGGGGGTTCTCCGGCCCCGCCCGTGGCTCGTTGACGTGGGTCCGCCCCTGGTCGTATTTGGTCCGCCACGGGTTGTCCCTGCGGAGTCTGGC